ACTCGGTTGTTGACTGCATGTGAAACACACTCAATTTCCATCAGAGACACATTCATGTGTTTCAGGTACATGTAGCACATAAATTCTACCACCTTTAGATTGAAATCCAATGGCTGGCCACCAGTGGTGGATGCAAGACAGGATTGAAGGAGGCTGGTCTCTTCTTCTTTCTCTCTCTATTTTTTTCTTTCCTCCATCTCTTCTTCTCCCTTGCCATCCCCATATTTCTATTGATGCACTAGTTGTAGGAGGGCTGGAGCCCCCCCCCAGCCCCCTGTAGATCCACCCCTGCTGGCCACAAAAGATAAGGAAAATTTGTAATTTTCCTTACGCACATATAAAGAGATGTTCTCAGTAAATAAATGCACGATGAATATGATCTTCAAAACTTACAAAACACAAATATGAAAATTACATATTCCAAATAGTGCAAATAGTAAGTGTTCTTAATGCGATTATACTTTATATATATACACACACGTACTGTTCTGTAGCTGACCGCAGAATAAGTTATTATGTGGTCACTTTGAGTTACGATAATTACTATACTAATTTACGAGATTATGATAACTCCCTGATTTACTATAGCATTATGGTAAGTATCATCTTGAATTATAGTAACCCATATATCGTAAATGTGTATTGTCATTATCGTAAATTGGTACAAACATTATCATAAATTAAGGTGGTCATAGAATAAGTTATTCTGTAACCAGCTGTAGAATAGCCTTACCGTATATATATATATATATATATATATATATAGTCATAGAATAACTTATTATGTGGCCAATTTGAGTTACGATAATTACCATGCTAATTTACGAGATTACAGTAACTCCTTACTAAATGATTTACTATAATATTATCGTAAATATCACCGCGAGTTGTAGTAACACGAGTATCGTAAATGCATATTCATGTTATCGTAAATTAGTACAAATATTATCATAAATCAAGGTGACCATAGAATAAGTTATTCTATGGCCAGCTGCAGAATAGCCTTACTCTATATATATATATATAAACCGCTCAATAATTTTCTCATTCCGCCATGCCACCTCAACACTCTTGTGCAGATGAGGCCACAAGACTAAACAAATCTAACTATCTCGGCCATATAGGTCTACACAATGAACCCTGTCAGCTAGTCAAAACAGAGAATCCGATTTCAGAGATACCAACAAGGATGCCCGTTCCTGGGTTCAACTGGTTGCCCAAAAAGAAGCAGTCTGCTGCTGCTGCATCTCATTGGGTTAGAGTTGCAGAAGAGGAGAAGAGTTCAAACCAATCATTAATTGGTGGATGCAGCTAACAAGTAGCAGGTCCCTATTCCATGTTAACCAGTGTCGTTGTTTTAGACATCTCGGATAAGTATGCAATTCTACGACTACTGCTATCAATGTACTCACAAATCACAGGAAGGGGGCCGGTGAGAAACCTATAATGCAGTCATGGACACTCATCTCTGATTTATTATTATATTGTGCACTGAATCAAGAAAGAGATTTCCTGGTACTTGCCGAATTGAACAAATACAACAAACCAGTATGGATGAGTAGATTTGGTATACAATAACAAACACACAGGCATATGCAAACAGGCCCTCTACTATGTTCATGCCATTAGAACATCACTGACCTCGGCAAGGCAAGAATCTGAAATACACCATAGATAAACTAGGATACAAAAATAAACTAGTTCAGATCTCTTGCACTTCCAATTCAATGCTATGTGATACTAAGATAAGGAAAAACCAGAGCACTACAAGACACATGTTCAAACTCTGATTTAGCAACAACCAAAGGTAAGTATAAGGTAATGCATGTGAAGACCCCACAAGACACCAAATCTGAACCTATATTGATTTGAACCAGTTGAGAAATTTATAAGGGAAAATTTCAGCATGTGGATAAGCTGCACTCCTAATCTGCATTTCCGTTCGCTACACCATGTATCACTGAAATGTTCACATGTCCTGAAAAATCAACTTACAAAGTGACCTATATATCCATGCTAGTCTGCTATCACACCATTCATACTAAGGTGCCATAAAGCAGCAACCATTATTTGCTCTGCATTCAGTTAAGAAAACAAAATGTGACGAAATGAAAAGAAAAAACATAGTATGAACAAGCCAACACAACAGATGGAAATCAAAATCAGGGGACCAAAATTGATACTAAAATTCCCCAACCCCATCCCCAACCCTAAGCAGCTCAAATCCACGTCATTCCACTCCACTAGAACGAACCTCAAATCAGTTAAACCTAGCTGCTCCAAAGACAGCAACCACAACCGCGGTGGCCGCCGGCGTTCAGGATACTGAGGCACTCTTGGCACCGCAACGCGTCAGGCGTAAGTACGAAGCAAGATGAAGCCGGGCGCGGGCGAGGGGCAGAGGAAACAGCAGCAGGGGCGTGGCGTAACGTGGGAGGTGGAGGCAGAGGCGAGCCGCGAGGACTTGAACGGGCGAACCCGGCTGCAGCATCTCGCCATGCGGTGGTCGCTCGTTGCTGGTGGCGACGACGGACACGGAGGGCTTAAGGCACCGGAATCGATGGTGGCCTAGCGTAATGCGGATCCAGCATACCCAAACAACAATGAATTCATGGAATCGAAGGAAGAAAAAGCAAAAGCAACGAACCTAGAAACTGATGGAATCGCCTCTCTGACCAGGGAGAGCATCGCAAGAAGAAGAAGACAGGAAAATGAGGCAGCTAGAAACGGACAGGCGCGGCTCCCGATTTGAAACATTAAGTAACGTCTAGAGTGGGCTCTGCAAATCAGCGTCACAAACCAACCGGCACCAAAAAAATTCGGTGCCAATAAACCACAAAACACATAGATGTGATATAACATTTCTGTTTTTTTTTCCGTACTTGAATAAGGCAGGTGGCTTGACTTGACCTCGGATCGGTGTTCAGTCACAGCGTCTGCCAAACGGAAGCTGCGGTACTGAAGGCGGTGCCCTACATGGTAGAAAAATTCAAACCTGGCCTGATGCAAACAAGTCGTGACAAATTTCTTCGGACACACTGCCTTGTGATATTCAAAGCTGACATTACGTGGAGCTTTTCAACATTCTTTGTGTTTTTACTCAACATGACTTGTCTTTGTTAATAGTTTGCCCCGAACAATCTTCGTACAGAGAAAGGAAGGATATTTTGTAGATGCTTTGCACTCCGTTCATTGGCTTTCAGGAGTAGCAAAGAGTTATCTCCAAACAATAAGTGATTGATACTCGGCGCATTGGCACACTTTAATTCCAGACAAATCCCCTGTGGTTTCTGCTGAAAGTAGCAACATGAAAAGGCTTCAACACATAACAAGAAAAGATAGGGGGACAGAGGATCTCCCTGTCGAAGACCCCGTTGCAGACCAATTTCTTCGCTGAGCTCGCCATTAATTTTGATGTGATATCTTACTATAGTCACGCAATTCATAATAATAAGATCAATCCAATTTTTCGTTAAACCCAGGCTGCCCATCATCATCCTCAGGAAGTTCCATTCCACTTGGTCACATGCTTTGCTCATGTCTAGTTTGACAGCCGTATACCCATCAATACCCCTCCTTTTGATCTGTATATAGTGTGTCATTTCATAAGCCAGCATAACATTGCCGGTAATATATGAGTCTTCTAGGTACAAAGGCACTCTAATTTAAAGAAATAATGTCAGCCAAGATGACTTTCGAGCGATTTGATAGTCTTTGAGGTAATCTTATATATCACATTACGCAAACTTAGGCCCCGTTCGTTTGATCGGGAATGAGCCCAGGAAGAATTCTAGGCCGGTATCTTTACTCAATTCACAGAAGCTTTCACTGGCCGGATTAATTCCTGGCGTCCTAATGCCCCAACTGAACGAGCCCTTATTGGTCTGAGATCCTTGGCTTTATCAGGGTTCGCAACCTATAGAATTAGGACTAGTACTGTATCATTCCAGTCCTCGTGGTCCACAATATGCCAAAATTGTTTATAAAAAAATAGCTGGCATTCATCAACATCCTCCACTGTATACTCTTTCAACGGAAGGTTATTCATATCAGGTGTCACCTTTGATTGTACATGGTCAAGCAGCTCATTGTAGCGTGAACCTGCATGAGATTCTGAGAGGTTTGTATACAAACGAGTGATTAATTTCCTCCGCTGTATACTCTTGATCCATTTCTTAATTCGTAAGCAACCTCCGCTCATCAATTGATTTCCATCCGAAACCGTGGGCCGTTTCTCCGTTTCCCAAAACAGAGGGAATTCCATGCCACGCCGCTAAGCAACCGCGAGTCCGCGATTGCTTAATCCAGTCGCTCAACCACTCGCTACCAACGATTAATTGCCCACGTCCACATCACCCGTTCAATTCCAGGAACGAAAAACCACGACTTGACTTGGCCAACTTGTGCGTACCACCGCCGAACACACACAGTACTGTACACGTACATTTTCTACATGTCAGAACAATGCACATGCAGTCGCTGATCACGGCCAAAAAAAGAGCGCTGTCACAGGTACATCGCTTCCAAAGATTTCCAATAGGATAGGCCACGGCGCGCCGCCGGGAACGGACCGCGTCCAAGCCTCCAAGCTCCTGCAGGGTGCGGGGGGTGCGGGGTGGCGAGCCGAACCGACCGACCCAGCTCCTGCAGCGCACGCTAAGCAAAGGCACCACGTTTCCGCCCGTGACGGCACCGTTTTCCCGGCGTGGCGGCGCGCGCGGATGTGGATTGACCATCCATCCACCGATCGGCACCGATGCACCTCAGGCCGCCAACGACTATAAAGGCACCAGGCGCAGTGCTTCACAGTTTTCACACCCACCGCGACCACCACCACCAGTCCACCACCACCACCACCACCACCGGATAGGGACACGGCACTAGCTCGTAGGGAAAGGGAGAGAGAGAGAGATGGGGGGGCGGATCGGTTCCTGAGCGTGGCGGAGGGCGGCCTCGGCGGCGAGGCGCTCTACTGCGCGGTCATCCTGTGGCTGTCCGTGATGTCGTGGATCATCTTCACCTGGGTCGGCGACGCCGGGGAAGCAGACGGGAGGAGGGGCAGGAAGCGCCGGGGCGGCAGCCGCGGCAGCCCGGTGTTCGTCGGCGCGTCGGGGATCTGCGACGGCACCGGGCCCGGCTGCAGCGGCGGCTACGGCATCTGCGGCACCTGCCTCGACTAGGCGACTAGCCGCCTGCGCTGCCCCCGTAGTAAGTTTGTGTGAGCGTGAGCGCGGCCATGTTTGTAGCATGTACATGTCGTCGTCGTCGTCGTCGTCGTCGTCGATGCGTGGCCTCGATCGAGCTGGTGATATGATGAGCAGAGCAGCTCCCCTGTGTGAAGACAATAAGAGGGAGCCTACTCAGTCAGTCAACTTCTTCGATCTTGCTTCGGTGTTGCACAAACTGAGTTGTTGCTAGCTTCTTTTTCTGCGCTCCTTTGATGTTTAATCTCGATCGTCTGTAAATTTTTACGCTGCAAAAGTACCCGATACATGTCTCGAACACTAGTATGTGAGATGAGATCCTTCGTCGGCGAGGTTACTTGTCTACTGAGTTTACCTGCTGTGTGCTGTGGAGGATTTCTCTTTTTGGGGAATGGAAGGATAGTTGGGCACATGTCGTTTTCAAGTAGACAATTTGCACTAGTTAATTGCGAGTCCAACAGCTTTCGGCAAGCAAGCCGAAAAAAGCTTATCTCGTGTCCTCCACACAAACCACTGATGGAGCAGAGCAGGCTGCACAAGAAACGTTACGGAACAGTAAAGGCCCTGTTTGGATGATGATTTTGTTATCGTTTCATACTGTATACGGTTTTCAGTTGTATATATCCTTATACCTTGTGCACAAGAACAAATGACTGACGAAGATAGACCAAATTAGAGGACTGCTGTTGTCTCTGGCCACATAGATATCGCGACCCAAGGAAGCCCGAGGTGGCGTTCAGTCGTCGTTTTTGTTATTCTCTTGCTTCACCCTATTCGTTTACGCTGAAATTTGGTTTATGCGTATCTAGTCCTGTTCATTCGAGCTTATTTAGCACTACTTTTTCTCTTAAAACATTTCAGCATAAACCAAATTTTAGCATAAGCGGATAGGGTTAATCCTCGTGGTGCGCATGACATCGTTTGTTGATCGTAGCCTGTGGCCCTGTGCATCTCTATCTATCTTCCCAAGCTCGATGGTTGATAGAGTGCTCACGTGGCTGTGGGTTCGCTGCCGGTCGATGTTCGCCCATACCTCCCTCAGCGTCATACCCTCCCTCAGCGCAGCTCGAGCCGCCGAGTTGCATTGAGGTAACGGCGGTCGATTTCGGGTGGCGCTGGCTCATGTCCGGCTACTTTCTGGAAGATGCTTCGCGATGTTGTGGATCAGAGATTGGACCTTCCGGATCGTTCAACGGGACTGGGTGGCCGGTTGACGGCTCAGGCATGTCGTTTTGGAGCTGCATCGCTGCAGCCAAGTTCTGGCTTGGACTTCTCCTTCGCACGAGTGTACTTCCCGGTCTCTCTCCTCCGAAGCTAATTCTCGAGATCTTGCTGTCGCCACCTGAGTTGTTTGTTCTCTCCCATGAGGTCGTGGACTTGCCGCACGAGTCGACCGTGCTGCTGTGGACTGGTCTCTAGGAGTTGTGTCAGCGTTGACTCCCTCGGAGGAGGGGGCTGACTACATGACCGTGAGGCCACTGAGGTGCCGACTCGGCTGCTGCTCGTGCTCAGGCGTCAGGACTCTAGCTGGTGGCCAATGGCTGCTTGCCTGATGCCTTGCCGCCTCAGTGCTCGCCAACTAAAGGATGGGGATGCTGAGGAATGAGGATGCCTCCCTGATACGCTTTCGACTGGGGAAGGAAACCTCCGGATAGGCACCAGTGCACATGGGACGAATCAGACGATTGGGCCAGGCCCTCAATGGGCCACTGATGGCCTAAACCAAAGCGAGAAAAACAGGCCCAACCGTTAGCCATCTTCTATCGCCGCTTCTCGATTCTCGCCATGTCGCGGTCACGGACGCTCTCGGCTGAGCCACTCGGTACCTGGAGCTCGGAGGTTAATAGGAAGAGGGGGTGGGGCGACTAGACCAATAGTTGAGGTTGGGGTTGCCCCCACCGAGCCCTTAGGCCTGTTTGGACATCAGCTTTAGATTAAAAAAACTTTCATTAGACCTAAGGATTCTTACGGTTCATAGGAGGATAAGAGATCATAGACAAGCGTATCCATATTTTATGGATTGCATTGACATTCTAGATGGTACACATATTCAAGTTTCTCTTTCACCCAATGAACAAGTGAGGTATATTGGGAAAATAGGGATAACCACTCAAAATGTCTTAGTAGTTTGTGATTTCGACATGCATTTTACATATTTATCCACGGGTCAACTAGGAGCTATGCATGCCACAAGTGTGCTATACAATACAGTCAGTGTGGACGAAAAATTCTTCCCACATCCTCCACAAGGTAATATGAATGAATAATAGTCGTTTAGTACGTCTCTTTTGTATGATAGCAAATATTAACTTATATATTTTTGGACCATGTTTAGGCAAATATTATATTGTTGATGCCGGATATCCTAATCGGTCCGGTGAAAGCTCTAGTTTGGTTTTGATGAATTGATGAAACCTTAAGTGCTAACCTAGTTTATCAAGTGATCATGATATAGGTAGCACACTCTAAGTGGTGAAGTAAATGAAGATCATAACATGATGATGGTGATGTCATGATAATGATCAAGTGCTTGGACTTTGAAAGAAGGAAGAGAAAAATAAAAGGCTCAAGGCAAAGGTATAAATGATATGAGCCATTTTGTTTTGGTGATCAAGACACTTAGTGAGTGTGATCACATTTAGTATCGATAGCCGTACTATTAAGAGGGGTGAAACTCGTATCGAAATGCGGTTATCAAAGTGCCACTAGATGCCCTAACTCATTGCATATGCATTTATGATCTAGTGGAATGCTAACACCCTTAAAAATGTTTGTGAAAATATGCTAACACACGTGCACAAGGTGATACACTTGGTGGTTGGCACATTTGATCAAGGGTGGTGAAGTTTAGGTGCAAGGGTAAGAAACTCCACTGGCGGAGTGTCCGTCCGTAGAGTGCGGACAGTCCGACGGTGCCACCGGTGCCCTAGACAGAAAAGACAGAGGTCATTGTAAGGGACCGGACGCTGGTCTCAGTTGGACCGGCGCGTCCGGTCAGTGGAAGCAGTCAGCCTGTTCACTTGGTCGTAAACGATCGTAAATTTCTAGCCGAAACAGTGTTTTTCTCTCACACCAAACCAGTCAACAGTAAATAATCCATGATCGTTTACGGCCTCCCGAACAGGCTGAGTGAGCGTGCGGTCTCGGTCTTCGACCGGACGCTGGCGCTAAAAGTGACCGGACGATGGCAGGGTGCGTCCGGTCAGTGCTGACGTACGCTGACGTGGGGCGCACAGAGGAGACGTTGACTGACCGAACGATGGGTGAGTCCGGTCGGGCAGTCATGAAAATTCGCGTTTGGAACCTTACTAGAAACGACCGGACGCTGAGGTCCAGCGTCCGATCACTTTCTAACTGACGCGTTCGGTCATCTCTTGACCGTTGGGATCGGGCAATCTGCATTTGAAGCCAATGACACGTGGCATGCACCGGGCGACCGGACGCTGAGGTCCAGCGTCCGGTCAATATGACCGGAGCGTCCGGTCACCCCGCTTTGTGCCCAGTGAAGGGGTACAACGGCTCTATTTCATGGGGACTTCTATTTAAGCCCCATGGCCGGCTCAAGCTCACTCTCTTGGTCATTTGCATTGACATAGCAACCTTGTGAGCTTAGCCAAAGCTCTCCCACTAATCTACATCATTGATTCATCATCTTTGTGAGATTGGAAGAGAATCCAAGTGGATTGCTTAAGTGTTTGCATATAGAGGCACTTGGTGTTCGTGTTTCGCTGCGGGGTTCGCTTGTTACTCTTGGTGGTTGCCGCCACCTAGATGGCTTGGAGCAGCGAGGATCATTGAGCGGAGGGTGGTGATTGTCTCCGGCTCCGATCGTGGTGATTGTGAGGGGTTCTTGACCTTTCCCCGGCGAAGAGCCAAAAGATACTCTAGTGGATTGCTCGTGGCTTGTGTGATCCTCATCTTGTATTGGTTGTGCGGCACCCTATTGAGGGTTTGGCGTGTGATGCCAATTAGCACGCGAACCTCCAAGTGAGTGAATCGCCACAACGAGGAGTAGCTTGCTGGCAAGCAAGTGAACCTCGATAAAAAATGATTGTGTTCATCATTTGATTCCGAGGTGATTGGTCTTCATTGTTATTCATTTTTGTGATTGATTGGCTCCTTCCTCGACACGGCAGTATAACCTTCTTGCTCACTCTCTTTTCATTACCGCAAACTAGTTATCAAGCTCTTTGGTGTAGCTAGTTGTGAGAGCTTGTTAGTTTGGTTAGTGTAACTCTTTAGTTAGCCTTTGAGAACACACTAACTTAGTGTAGTGACATAGCTATTGTGTGGATAGAAACTATATAAACTAGAATTATGATAGGTGGCTTGCATTTTTAGTAGGCTAGCACAACACTTGCTTCACCTCATAATTGTCTAATCGGTTTGATAAGTGTTGTTGTAGAAAATTTTATTAGGCTATTCACCCCCCTCTAGCCATTAGGACCTTTCACTCGGCTATCTAGCTCCTTACAAGGATGAAAGATATCATATGCCGGAGTGGCATAGAGATATGGAACCCAAAACACCTAAAGAAAATCCAATTGCATTCACTCTTCTATTCGAAATGTTATTGAGAGATCTTTTGGAGTTTTGAAAATGAAGTAGCAAATTCTATTCAAGATGTCCAACTACCCCGATGTGGAAGAAAAGGATGGAGGTTGTTGCTTGTATGGTACTTCACAATTTTATTCATGAGCATGGTAGTGAAGATTCGGACTTTGCTCGTTTCGGTCGTGATCCTCATTTTGTCCCAATAATACTAGAAAGGTATAACCGATATACAATTACATCGAATGGTTCTACTTCAGAAGCCAATGCCGCAACTATGGATGTATTTTGTGATGACTTGCCCACGGCTCTTGCTCTTGCTTGGAACTAGCATGTAAGACTAGTCTTCTTTTAATCTTTAGTTATTTTTATGTATGGACAATGTTCATATTGTTGAGATGTTGTTATGGACGTGGGTTAATTAA